GATCTTTATATACTACTCTCTCTTCTACGCAGCAACTTGGTTTTGATTAGAAATTACAATTTGGTTTTTAAGTAATAATAAAACTGTGAGTAGTTGGTCCAATCTAATCTAAATCCACAGGAAATGAATTCTACTGGTTATTGATAGTACTGCGTGTAAGACATACATTTGTTTTTCATTGGTTTTATATATAATAATGATGATGCCTATAAAGTAACTTAATTAGCCAAAAAGCTTAATCACTATTATAAATTGTAATCATAGTGTCAAATTGTCAATAAAGTAATGAGTAAACATTAGAATAATGCCAGTTAAACTATGGGCAGACAAAACAACGGTTTTTTAAGACTACGAACAAGCTAGTTTTTTCATCTTCTTTTCTTTTTTTTTTTTTTTTTTTTGGTTATTTCAATATATTAATTTAGAATGGATTAAAATATTTTCTCAGTCAATTTGTGGGCATATGCAAGTGGAGGGCTTTGCAGTGGATTAACCCGTGGGCTTAGATAGTTTTACCTCAGTAGACTTTTTTGTTTAAGATCAGAAATGGTAATACAAGAAGAACTATACCAAAAAAAACTAAGAAAACTATATGTTGTATTATTTCTGTAGTTTTTGTTTGTTGGTTTCAATGTCTATTTGTAACATTTGGTTTTGTATTCCCACATTTAAAATTAAATATGATGAGGTCATCAGGACCATACATTGATGTAAGTTGTCCGGGTAAGAATTCACTCGGACCATTTCCACACAATAAGGAAAAGACTTATCCAAATGATTAACATCCACTCCAACAAATGGCTTAGGATAAGATAATTTCTTGGAAACCAAGGATTTGAAGGACAATGAATTGAGCAAAACTATGATTTAAAGATGGTCAATAGAGATTAGGCATACTTGAAATTGAAACTGAACCACCAAAATCGAACCGTCAATTTTGACTTGGGTTTCGAAATTCACCATATTTGACTTTGAGGAAAGTGATCAAGAGAAAATAACATTACTTCTTGTTAGAATTTGTACTGAAGGAGAAGTTTTAGCTGCAAAGAACTTACTATTTCACAACTTCCTTACCTTGTTTTTTACCATTACAACACATACTTATACTACTACCAAAAGATGACCTAATCAACATAGGTTTACTTTATTGTTCATAACATCAATACCGAAACCCATTAACACTTTGGGCCTTAATAACATTCATGGCCCAGTGGCCTTAATTCCAATCTACTTTGACTTTATCATTACTTGACTCTTCTTCTTCCTTCTCTTCTTTCACGTATCCTCCTCCTCCTTTCTCCTTCTTCTTCTTCTTTCTGTATCTTCTTCTTGTACCTACAGATTGAGCAAAGAGTCATCAATCTCCAACACTTCTGACTTAAGCAATAGATGGTGTGGAACCACTCATATATATGGCCAACCATAAGGAGTTATATGCATTTCTTGATAGTGTCGGCTTACCCAAAAGGAATCAAATCCCAGACCGACTTATTTTGTAATCTTGATCCATCAAAGAGTCTACCCCAATAGAGAGACACCTATAGATGGATATGAGTATACGACCTACCTCAACTTCAACCATATTCTTGTAGATCATATATATATATATATATATATATCAGAACCATTTGAGGAAAACAAGCTAGGCGAGTCTCCAAATTGTATACGAATATGCCTTTTTCAGCATATTTTCAAACTTGGTTCACCAAGACTAAACTATATAACCATATTTGCACACGAGAGTATACCGATGGGTCCTTCTCGTATGACCTATTTTTTGTCGCCCTCTTAAGACCTATAAGCATAATGAATACCTTTTACACATCAATATTAACATTTTTGAAGTACCTTTTATGTTGTATTATTTACAATAATTAACCTTTGCCATTTTAATGAATAACAAAACTTTAAGGTAAATTTTGTAATTAAATTAAAATAAAATTGTAAAACTGGAAATCATTATTTATTATAATAACCGAATTTCCTAAAATATCTCCCTAATAAATGAAACATTTCTCCAATATATTTATATGATCTTATTTGTTTTAAAATTTTTATTATTAATAAAACATTTGTATGATAAAAAATATATTTTTTCCGCATATGTTACAATTTGTATAAAACTCAATCAATACAAAATGGACGTATAAAACTCAATCAATACAAAAAAAAAGTTATGTACTAAAGTATTATTGATAATTGTGTAGCATGTGTCATTTTATGGAGCGGGTTATAATTTACATACTAAAGTATTATTGTTAATTGTGTAGCACGGATCATGTGATGGAGCGGGTTATAATTTACAAACTAAAGTATGATTGATAATTGTGTAACATGGGTCATGTGATGGAGCGGGTTATAATTTACATAATTATGAGTTTAGATGCTTTTACGGGTTGTCTATTATAGTAAAATTCACAAAATAATTTAATATGAAACTAGACTATTTAAACGAGAGATGTTATGCCAACATTATTCTATTATTTTGAAAATTAGACTTATCTAATTAATTTTATCAAATTACGATTATATAAAATATAAATTATCATGCAATATTCCACGGGTTAAGTCAGAAATAACAATCAAAATACAGTAATATAATCTTATATACCAAAAAAATTAATAAAAATATATTTTAAAATATCGTCCCGTGATATACTACAGGTTTAAAATCTAGTAAGACTATAAGAGGCTTCCAGGAATTCATGACCTCCTCCCCACACTATCTAGATGCAAGAAACGTCACCTTTTTTTTACTTGGCTGAGAATCAAACAATAAATACCATGACCTTGATTGGTTATGACTGTAGCTTTAGGTTTTTAGTTGTAGATTTAGAGCTGTGAAAGTTTTGGCTGTGACTGTAAATTTTATTTGTTATAGTATTTTGGCTGCAAGAATTAATATTTTGGAAAGCTGAAAAATATGTGCTTTAAAAAATACGGCTTTGAACAGCCAAAAATATAATTAAGAAAATATTTTGGATGTGAATCAAAAAAAGAAATACAAAAATTATAAAGTTTGATTGTTGTGGATTTATAACTTTAGACCAAAATATGGCTGTGGAAAGTTTATAAAGTAGCAACCAATCGAGGCTCATTTCATTAAAACCGTTGATTGAATTTATGTTGATTTATGTTCTCCCTTTATTTGTTTTACATTCTTAGTCTATATAAGCTCTTACTTTACCATTTATTGTAAGAACACTATAAATTATTAATCAAAAACAAGTGTCCTCTATTAAGTATGATGAGGAAGCAAGCCATATATGAGGAAACAAAGTTTCTTCTATTTAGGTTCCTTGTTTTTCATTCAAATTTTGGCAAAATCATAAGATATGAAAGAAAAAGGAGCCGCAAAACCTAGAGAGGGGAGAGAAAGAAGGAGATCAAGCTGAAAAGGGAAACAAAGAACAATAAGGAGAGAGACTAAGCGGGAAGGGAGGGAGATTTTGCCGCGACCCTCAAGCCTTGAAGGAGAGAAGAAACAGAGAGATTCTAGAGATAAGCGACTCAAGAGAGATAAAACATAGGCAAGGAGAAAGAGAAGGAGAAACGAAAAAAAAAAAAGTGAAATAAGAGAGGAAGGAAAGTACATAAAGTGTTTTAGAAGTAATGGCACAATTAAGATTCATGTTCGTTTGGTGAAATTTTTAATATAAGACTTGTCAAGTCTCAGTCTCAGACTTGTTTTCTAAGTAGAAGTTCAAATAAACTTGTAGAAACGAAAGAACAAAGCGTACGTAGTAAAAGCTTTTAAGGGTGTGAGTGCATGCAGGCCCGACTCAGATGGGTAGGGCAGAGGGGCGACGGCCCAAGGGCTCGTGAAGAAAAAAAAATTTCAGGAGGAAGAGGACCCAATTTTTTCATTTTTAAATTTTTTTTTAGTGTTAAAGGGTCCAGTTCCCCTCCCCCCCCTATATATAAAGGCCCGTTTTTAGTAAAACAAATTTAAAAAAAAAAAACTCATTTGCTAAGAATAAATTAGAAAAAGCCCAATTTTTTAGGTTTTTATGTTAATAAGGGAAAAAAAATTATATTGAGAGGGTCCAAATTTTTTTTTTTTGCCCTAGGGCCCTTGTTTTTGTTGGGCCGGGGTTGAGTGCATGCAATGTTGAAATCTTCACTTCTAACCTATTATGGTTAGATCTATGTATCTCTCTCATACACATTTGTTTTCTTTGTTCTAGAGAGACACAAGAATCGTTTTTCTCCAAATAATACATTTTTAATTGGATGATGTTCTCTTACAACATTACAACATTTTATACTTAGGTTTTTACTCTTAAGTCTTAACCTAATTAATATACAACTTAACCAAAGCCATTTACATATATGGGCCTTTGCTCACTTCTGGCCCAAAAGACCTTTCTCTTCTTCCTTCTTCTTCTTCCTACGACCAACGCTTCTTCATCTTCTTCGGTTGCTTACTCTTCTAAGCTTTTCTTCTCTGCTCTGCTCCACATCTCACCTTACTTGCGAGTTGCTTCTCTGTTTCTCTTTTGTAGGATTAAGCTATGAATCAACTTCCAACATGCAACAGCTTTAATTTGTTAAAGCAACAATAAAACGAGCTCAAAGTGTTAAACTTCTGTAGTTAACTTAGAAACTGTTCCTCGATAAATTAGAAGGTGTGAATTCATAATATATATATATATATATATATATATATATATATAAACTGATAATATAAAGTTGGACTAACCCAAATATTTAGCTCTAATAAAAAAAATCATTACCACTGATATAATGAAACTTTAACAAACTAAAAAACTTCAGTTAAACTTGATAGTAAAAAGTCTATAATTGAAATTTAAAACTACAAAGTACAAAGATATAAAACATTATTTAACATTTCCATTGACTTTATACAAATGTAAAAAATGGCCACAATCTTTTATTAAATAATAAACCAAACGTGTATTAGTGAAAAGAAAACCAAACATATCAAGAAACCAAACTACAACAATAAATAAATTAAAAGAATCTTATAATGATCTCTTTTACATCCTAATTGAGGCTTTTCCATTTGGAGATCGCATGTCTCGTATCTTCTTTTCTTTTGCAAGTATTCCTGCAAACCTTCACAAGCCAAAAATTTGAATATATAAGCAAAACATATACGAATGGATCAATATATAAAGTTATCAAATGTAAAACTTTGATCACCTACTTTATAAGAGCCTTTTCATTGGTCATATGATAAGCACTTTCATTACAACCCGAGTCTAGATTGACTATAGAAACTGGTTTCTTTAGTAGTTCATCTCCTATCTTTGTTAGATTGTCCAAATTCTCGACCGTAGCGATATCAACAGAAGCAGTATCCCCGGTTAATGTATCATCCTATATAGGTATATCTTAGAAATTATGAAGGCATAAAAGGTAAAAGAAAAGGTTAATGAGCTGATCATTTTGATATATACCTGGATGCGAATATAGTTGGCTCCCGAATGGAGAGCTCGGAAAACGCAAGAGAGATGGAAATCAACCATATCCGAGCTAGCGTGCGTGAAGACATCAATGAGAGGAGTAGAGTTATCGTGTGTTAACCAACTCAACACTCCCCAACCAGCTACTTCTTTTGCATTGAATTTTTCTTCGGTTTTGCGGTTTCCGGTTCCAAGTGAAAGCACAAGAAACCTTCCGTAATCGTTTGGCCTTATTGGGAAAAAATCACTGCTCCCTCTTGTTATCTCCTTTGTCACCTCCCCAATGGCTACCAAAGCCTATATATACGTAACATATAACAAATATGTGATATATTATTCAAGACTTCTACATATATATGTTGATATTTATTACTAGGATTGTGTGACAATAATATGATATATGGTATATATATTTTTGGAAATTTACCGGGTTATTAGCTGCAACTCCGCCATCAATAAGATTGTATTCTCTAACGTTTCCGGTTGCATCTTGAGTTGTGAAGAAATGGGCTGGCAAGTATGTAGGTGCTGCTGAAGTTGAGATGGCAATGTCAGCGAGTGTTGCATTCTTGAGTGGATTGTTTTTTACCTATAAGATAGAGATATAGTCAACTATGTTACAACAAAGTTTTTAAACTTGGTATATCATAATTTCACATACACAAAAGAATTAGCTAAACAAACCTCGTAACTACTAAATATCATAGGTTGAAGATGCTTGATATCGAAAGTTGGAATGACGACGTTGGTAAGTGTTTGATTCAACCTTGTATCACCCAATTTGGCATGGATAAGTTGATGAAGGTATTCACCGTCATATTTAGGACCACTCAAGGACTTGACAAGGTTTTTCGCGGCCGATAATGGGAAATGATTTTGAGGGAAGATCTTTGGACAGTTCTCGAGATAAAATTGTTTAATCTCAGAGGCCGCAAACAAGGGTCGGCCTTCCTTGTTAGGAGCACTAAGCATAGCTGTCACTAGACCACCAGTGCTTGTTCCTGCCATTACATCAAAGTAGTCCGCAAGCCTTGCTTCTTGTCCATCCAATTTCTGTTACATTGAGAGTTTAATGTCATACGAAAGACTAATGTTATAGATACGATTCATAGTTAGGTATAACATTTATATTAACCTGAAGTTCGGATTCGAGAAAACCAAGGATAACGGCAGGGATTATCCCGCGAATTCCACCACCGTCGATGCTGAGGATCGTGACTAAGTTTCCATAGGTCGGAGGTTGAATAGGTGACTTTAGGCTCTCCATTTGTATCTTTATAGAACAATAAAAGCAATGTATCGTTTACTTGAGGAGATACAAACTTTGATTGTGGGATATTATGATTTGGTTTGAATAAACACTCTTATGTATTTATAGACATATAAGTGTGGGTGTGACTACTATTTCAAAGTTCGACTACTATGTATAAGTTCAAAGTTCGACTACTATGTATATAGGTACACCTATATAGCTTCATCCCTTTGCTTTTGAACTTCAATCTTATTGGTTCTTTTTGGAGTCTTGCTTTGAAGACAATATTATAGACTTTTTCGTGAACCTCTTTTCTTCCTCCACCTTAGTTATGACCATGTCAACCATTTGATAATCAACTATATTTTTTTTTTGTTCTTTTTCCAAATAAAATAAAATTTAAGGTTTCTTTTTATAATTAAAGTATCTATATTTGGTAAGAAACTCTCATAACTTTATAACAAAAGAAAACTCAAAATTAGTAGAATATATTTATTTAATTAAGTTTTAATTTGTTGAAAAACCAATAAATAAATGATATATGTGACATACTTTTTAGGGGAAATTTCAAAAATACTCTTTTTAAATACCATTTTTTAAAAATACCCCTTTTCAAAATTTTATCAAAAAATCCATTAAAATTTTAAAATTTATCAAAATATGTGTATAAAAATTTATATATCTTTCATAAATACCGTATAAATACCTTATAAAAACCATTAAACCTTGTAAACCCTTTTAAAAACCGTGTAAATCTTGTTAAAACAAATTAAAACCTTTTAAACGTTATACATTATATAGATCGAATCTCCTAATAGTAGTTATTTTATAGGTGTACCTTATGAACGATATAAATTTTTATAATTTTTCATATTTAACAGTGGTATTTTTGAAAATGGGTATTTCTCAAAAAGTATATTTTTTATTAAGAGACCATAGATTATTAAATTTAACAATCTTTCTCATATTTTTTTTCTTTTATTATTATTTTTATGGAGTATCTAATTTAGATCCCAAAATAGAAATATGTTCTTAATGTTTCATTTTTCTATATCATTTTAATGATGAATTATGTTGTTTAATTACTCATTGCAATGGTTGGTGGCTGCAACTCTCTACGGGCAATAAGAAATAAACTTTGATGTACGTAATGAAGCTAATTAAGAAACCTTGGAACTTTATTTATTTACATTATAATAAGGATTTCTTAAAATGTACGTAATGAAGCTAAATAAACATTTAAACTATAATAATGATTCCTTAAAATGTACGTAACGAAGCTAATTAAATCCAGCATTTTAAACGTGCACGTCCTAAGTCAGCAATAAGCCAATAAACATATTTAAAATGCAATATGGATATTGAACTAATCTTAGCTCTTTCTATTGGAATAATTGGGATAGTGGAGAGTACGTGTATACTAATTCGATTGTGTACTAATATTTCTTTCTATTTCATGGTGTTAGTCTAATTTTTTGGACTATGTATATCCTTTTATGGTAATACTAAAAGTCTTTAAGGTTTTAGCAGCCAGTCAACAACACATTCTCATTTTTGTAACTTTCTTACATATTAAAACACGAAAAAAAACACAATAAGTTTCTTTATTTCTAGAATAGTATATGAATTTCTTACAAAAGTCATAAAAGGAAGCACACACATATTTAAAATATGGGAAAGTATGATTGGTAAAGTAAATATTTGTTGAATTCACCACCATTATAGGGTTTCATTGGATTACATGACTTAATTATCGAAAAGAAAGAAAAAAAGTATAAGTATGCCATAATGAGTTTCGCTAGGTAAAATATATTAAAAGGAAACTTCTTGTTTTGTTTCTTCTTCGTACAGTTTCGTCAAAATAAAATAAAAACAATAGTGAAAAAAAAAATTAATTCTATATTTATTAGTTTAAAGTTGAAAACCATAATGATAAGTTTTTAGAAAAATAGTATTCTAAGCCGAACGGTTATGGAAGATGCTATTGTGGCTGCATTATGGATTAAGAACCATTAGCAAAATCAGGTATATGAAAAATCGAGAGAAGAATCACTTACATTAGCAAAATCCGTCGTAATCTACTTTTTACATAAAACATAAACAAATATAAACACACACATATATATATATATATAAATAGGACTAGTTCAAAGGGGAATTTCAAAAATACTCTTTTTCATATACTTCTTTTTAAAAATATTTTATTTTCAAACTTTATCAAAAAAATCACTAAAAATGTTGAAACTTAACAAAATATATGTGTAAGCTTATAAATATATACACAAATTACATTTGTATGTGTATATAATTTTAAATATCTTTCATAAATAGCGTAAAAATAACTTATAAAAACTTTATAAAATGTATAAAAGACGATTTAAAACGATTTAAAACATTTTAAAATATTAGTTTCGAATCTCTCAGTAGTAGTTATTATAAATAAGTACCTTATAAACTATATAAAACTTTATAAGTTTTAATATTTAAAGATGTGTATTTTTGAAAATGGATAGATAAAGGAGATATTTTTAAAAAGGGGCACACCAAAAGGGGTATTTCTAAAAAATTCTCCTAGTTAAAAGCATATATTCAAATAAATGAAAAATAAAAAAGCAAGATCATAATTAGTTAATTAGTTCTCTTACATATTTGAATTGAAAATTACAATTGTTCCTATTTATGATTTAGGGATTTACAGATGAGTTTTTTTTCCCGGCACCTACAAGTGCAACTAAATGAGAAATGTCAGTTAGCTTATAGATTTATATTATATTTTATTACTTAATAAAAAATTAGTTATCGTATAAATAAGCAATCACCCAAGAAAATACGGTAACTACGATTTAGATTATCCGTTAACAGCTATATTCTGGATTTCAGTTAATTTTACTACATGTCGGATATACTGTTCATCAACATCTTAGGCCGTGTTTTATAATAGTCGCGGCGATTCTGACGGAGATCAAAAAATTACACTGTTACGGCAACAAATTGAGCACAAAATTAAAGAGTCGTTGTGATTCATGCGACAAGTAAAAAAATAGAATCGTCGCTGAAATTACCAGCGATTGACGTGGCTCCGTTTCTTTTGATTGTTTTAGTTGCACGACAACTACGGCTCTTTACTTTTCCAGAATATTTATTATTTTAGGGGGGTGTATTCAAATAATGATTTGGAAGTCTTTTGTGGAATTTATAATATTTTGGATTTTAAAAGATTTAAGTGAGTTTTTAAGGTATTTTGGTGGATTTGTTATTATTTCCTATTTTTAAAAAAGGAAAATAGTTTGAGATTTGTCGAGATTTTAAAAGAACTTTACGTGATTTTAAAAGAGATTTACTTGCTAGGTGATCGCTGATATTTTTGTTACGACTTCATGTTGAGGGTTCAGACTTAAAAGATATTATTCTAACTCCGGGTTGCTACTTTCTTCTTCCGTTACTTTTGCTACAGACCTCGGATTGAGATCTTTCCAATGATATATAAACATCTGTCTGAGTCCTTGTGGTTTTATGGAAAATTGTTCTCAAAGTTGGCTATTCGCAGGTTCTGTAAAAGTGGCGGTAACTTTCAAACCGAAAATCCGAATCGTGATCTGCTTTTTGCTGTGTCTTCGTATGACTGTTGTTGATATTCCCACCATATTTCATAATTTTCTGGGTTGTTTTGCTCCACCGTTTATGCTCGGCTTCAAGACTGCATCAAGCAGATGACAAAAAAGTTCTGTTTAATAGTTGGTGTGAGATAGCTGAAAGATACTATGGTCTATTGTTGTGAAGACTCAGTTTAATCATGACGTTTGGTTACAACATTCTAACCAGTCACCAATCTTCAACACACTACAGCTTTCTATATCCAAGGACCCCAAATCGAAAGCAAACATGCTATTTGTTAGAAATTGGACGACGAATGACAAATGATTAGAACTACTACATAAACAATGGTGACTTGGTTACTCTGAGAAATTGAAGAGAAGGAGGGGTATAAAAATTGGAGATTTGCCTAGTGACTTTTTCTTGTACGTGATCTTTTTTTTTTTAACCAATCCTTCAAAATCACACCCTCCAAGGTGTGACTTTTTAACTGGATTTCTCTTTATAAATAGTGTTCAAAGTCTTCCAAAATCACTTTTATGGTTTTTTAAAGAAAAAATTTATGTTTTGAATAACAGTAGATTTGATATGAATTTTTGGATTATTTTGTAGTTTTATCCTAATTCTAAGTAGAAATTTGAATTTTACACCAACTCTTTTAAATATTTCAAATGTATCTTATGTATGGTGAAAAATGACAATTTTACCCTTAATTAATAATTAAAAATTAATAATAAAAAAACCAAATAACAAAATTAATATATTTTACAATATTATTAAAAATATATTTTATTAGAAATTAATTTATTATGTTCGTATTTTTTTATTAAAAAAAATAGATATTTATTATAGATAATATTAATTAGTAACTACAACTGAAAAAATAATAATTTATTTTTAAGAATATTATTTAAAATAAATTAATGGTTATAAATAAGATGTTCAAATTATATTAGTCATGAATTAATTTATTATGGATAATATTAAAAATAATTAAAATTAAATACGAATTTATAATATTTATAAACTTTTAGATGTAAAATTAAATTGAAATTTTAAATAAGCGTAATATAAAAATAATTTTCATAATTTTTTCATTTAATAGAAAATTTTGAAAACGATATTTAAATGTTTTTAACTTTAATATAATAAATATCTAAACTAGTTAAACCCTAAAAAATCAACAGTTCAAAAAGTCGACAATGTAAAAACTCATTTAAACAAATAACAAGTCGACTCTTGCAATATAAGTCAAAAACAACAAAAATCAAGTCGAAAAACATAATATATAAGTAAACAGTTCTAAAAGTCAATCAAAGTAATAAATTAATATAAAAATAAAATAAGTCTACTAAGACCAAACAAATCGACCAATGTTTTTTTAAAAAATCAACAAACATAACAAATAAGTCAACTGTATA